GACTATATTCTAAATTCATTTTCTCTCTTACAAGTTTTTGCAGATTTCATTAAGCATGGTGTTAAAACTTCAAAATATAAATATATTCCTAATGCAAAGGTATGTACAGCAACATGAAAAATGCATTGTTTAGGTTTTTCACGTTACATTTTACAAATACCAAACATTTCATATTTTAATGAGACCGAGTCTAAACACTGTATTTCTGCCCGAGGGATTTTGTTGTCTGTTATTGTTTTAAGACTAAAAAAATCGAATGCTTACCGTCCCAATTTCTTTTGGGGTCATCTCAAGTGTCAATTGTTACTATTGAACCCTATGGGAAAATGTTGGAAAAGCGCCAAATAATTCATTTTTTTATATTTTGTTTAATTTTTGCACTAGAGATTTCTTTTTCATTAAAGTAGATCTAAGTTGGTCTAAAAATCAATTACGAAACTTATTTTTTCAATATAGCCCAATTTCTCTAAAATGACCGCATTAATGCATATCAGTGCAGATGAATTATTGGCACACAATTTTAACGGTAAAATAGCAACTTTTGGATCGCTGGTATGTTTCTTTGGATGGTCTGTCATCAGATTTAAGTATAATATCCATGGACGTCCTGAGTACACAAACGCCATTCTCCAGTGTCATGCTTTTCTTACAAAATCAGAAAATATTGACGTCGTTAAGGCCATTTCAACATTTTTTTTTCTCATTAATTTCGTAAAAATCACCCTTTTAGACCAGTAAGGGTTTTTAAATAATGTTTATTTTGTAATAAAATAAAAAAAAATGGCTTAGGTGTACTGTTGCACTAATGACTGCATGAAATAAATAAGCTGCGCCAAGTCATGCGCACTCGGTTAGACTCGGTCCCGTTAAATATGTACGCAGGCAATTTATCAATATATAACACAAAAATACACTGAGAGGTTGCATTCAGAACTCTTTAATGTGCAGTGTTTAGAGCATCCTTAATGTTTGACCTCTACCATTTAGTTTCCATTCAGTGAAACATAAGGAGAAAACGAACAGTTATCAAGATCCATATAACAATACAGAGTAGGAGCAGAGAAAATATAGAATAATTTCACTAACCTTGCGGTTATCTTATTTCTATACTAGTAGTTAAGTTAATCAAGGAAGGTGTTAAGATTATACAAAAAATCATGTGTCCTGACCTCTGTTTCGTGTCCTTGACATTATCTTGTACATGTAAGATTCCTTTAGGTTCCTTATAACATAAAATATATTTCTGCAGTGTATCAAAATTGTTTATTTCTAATTTCACTCATAAACATTATATTCCTTTGTTATTCAAATTGAAATAAAGTTTGGCTTAGGTTTGCTTATGCTCGTTAGAAGATATTCTATTGTTACACATACCACGACGCAAAAAAGAGAATACTTTCCCTTAAAATGTCTACTGAATTTGGATACAGCGGATCAAATTTTATAATTTTTAGAGCATTCAGGATGTAAAGCAACAACTCATATTGTATCGGTGATGTTTCAAATTTGAAGATGATATAATTTTTTTCTTGTCCTTTTCTGCAGAAGTTGATCTCAACGGTTCATTTGCATTTCGTGCCAATGTTTTGACATTTGACGACAATGAAAGACTCATTTTTGATAATTGGACACCAGTGACGTATCAGAACTGGAATCCTAACGATGAGGGCGAGACAGCAGTTGACCCAATCTTTGGCCTCCTTTTGACTTATCATAACGACGGCAGGTGGCGCTGGGTGACTGAGAGAAACTACACGTACTATACAGGAGAAGACGGACTAAAACTTCCCTTTATTTGTGAGGATTCTCCATTTTATTTGGAGCATGAAGAGTGTTCTGTTACATAATGATTCATTCTCTTTTAATTAAAATAAACATTTGCAACCATTATCTTTTGTTATATAATTTCATTAAGCATGGTGTATAAAGTTCTAAATCATTAAATGGAGTATTCTTAAGTTAACGTCGGATCGTATATTCGTCTCCTCGGAAGTCATCTAGATATATCCTCGGATTGTATATTCGTCTCCTCGGAAGAGATTAAGATTTATTTTCGGATTGTATATTCGTCTCCTCGGAAGAGATCTAGGTTTATCCTCATGTTTTAAATAAACTATGAATAGCATGTACACAAAGACAGACAGTGCATTATATTGTTTCGTTATTTTTCCAAGGAAACTGACTGGGATCTCCTCTCACCTACATACAAACATTTTATCACAAAGCGTTGTTTTTAAAATTTCTATCCGTAATCCAAAAAATAAGGGGCAAATATATTTTCCTAGGACGGTCGGTCCAGTTGTCTGTTTGTTTGCTATTTTTTCCTGATTTATCTGTAAGTGGTAAATCAATTAGCCCTGACTACAGCCTTTAATTGGTTTGAGCTATGAATTTCATATTTCACAGGTTTTTTTCTTTATTTTGACGGTCAATTTCGAATTTGGAATTTGAGCCTTGGTCATATGAACTATGGCTTTAATATTTCACTGGTGTATTCAACGTGTAAAAACTTTTCCTAGGGTAAAAGTATTTTTGACTTTGATCTTTATGTTTGACTCACTTTTAAAGAAATTTTCAAAATTTTATTCTTAGCCATAGCTACTACACAGTTAAATCAAGTGATATCATACTCCTCACGCTTATATTTTGATAAGACCTTCTCTTGAGTACAAACAGTAATGACCTTTAACCTTGATCTTATGGATTTGACCTACTTTTCAAAAACGTAAACTTTGGTCGTATTTACTGAATATTTTGTGCTAGGGGTTAACTATTTTACCGGTTCATTTCTTGTGGTAAGAGCTTCTCTTGAATACCAATATTTTCTTTTTATATTTTTATCCTTTTATTTGGACATCAGACTTTGACCACCTTTTGAAAAAACTTTTGTGATAACTTTTGACTGGTTGATTTCGTGACTTTTATATTTCACCTGTGTATTCTTTCTGAAATTCTTTTGGGCATCATTAATATTGACTCCTTGACCTTGTCCAGTTTGACCTACTTTTGAAAATCTCTAACTTTGGTCATAATTACTGAACTGTTGCTGCTTATATGGTTTTTATTTTAGAAGGTAGACTCATTGTGAGGAACGTTTCTTTTGGTACCAAAACTACCTTTATATTGACCTTGGTGTTTGACCTGCAAACGACAACATTTATCATAAGCCTCTTTGTTTCACAAACTTTTCTTGAATTTTTATCATTAGCTCCTAAAACTTTTCCTATTGATTTAATAACAAATTTCAAGTTGTAGTCTATCAAATTTTTGGATATACTAGTATATAAACCATCGTATACACATTGCATAAAGGAGAATGACTTGTCACACATATTGAATCATTTTTTAAAGATGTAGTCTCATAATTACAAAAGTTTTAGCAAACATATTGATTAATGTTAGCTTGCTTTTTATTTGCAAAAGCAGTTGCAAATATAAGATAACATCTTTCAAAAAATAATGAATCGGTGCTCATTTTTTTTTTCTAACTCCTTGTCTTGTTTTGCAAATTTGATTTTTTTCTAACTTACTTAAATTATCTCTAGCCTAAATAATGAATTTAAATGATCTCAAATTTTGCTTTTAAGATTTGTGACGTCAAAATAAAACGCGTATTACAAATGTAACCTTTTAATCCCCGATCTGTGTTAGAGTGTTTTGAAATAAAAAAAAAACAATAAAACATTACAGTCGATTAAAAAATATATATACATCTTAAGGATACACCAAAGGTTTACAAAGGGCAAAATTTAATTTGCTTGTAATTCTTTCATTAATAAAGATATCATATTAAAAGTAAATATCATTTGAAAGCTTGTTAAATTTACTATTCAATGATCTTAATTTAAATTTTCATTTTTATCTTATCTAAAAGTTATTATTTTAATGTAAATATTGGTGCATTTATATTTTATAAATCAACTTTTTTGTATTCCAACTTTCAAAGTCAAGATTTTGCCTCAATGTAGATTAAAGATTGAACTTTAAAACCGTATCTCAAATTTTTGATAAATCTTCTTATTCAAAAGTTACATTCATTTGTCTTTCAATGTTACCAATTTATTAGCCCAATTCTACACCCCCAATAATTCGAGAACTGAGCAAGATATCAAAAATCCGAGATACGGTTTTGTGAACACACATTTGTGACGCATTCTGGCCAGTTTTCAGAGAAATTGGTCAATAAACAAGGGAGCTAAATCCTTTGAAATAATACCACCAACTGTCTGATTTACTTTACAGTATTTGTGGAAAACCCAATAATACACAACGAGTCTGCCAAAGCTAGAAATATATGACATTTTAGATTCAGCTTTGGATTTTCTCCATATTTCCTAAAATATTCACAAGAATAGGTTCTATTCTTTATTTAGGTTTTTAATGAAGTAAAATAGGTTCAATTCTGAATCAAAAGATAAAATTGCAAGAGCTAAGCTCCACCTCCTATTTCATGGTCATTAGTGACCTGTTATCTCCTTCAAGTTAAAGTTTAATTACTGATAGCCACTGTGTGGCTAGTGAAGAAAAGTGGTCACAGTGATTTATTGCTCCTTTCAGTAACAGGCAGTTACAGAAGGCATTCACATGTGTTAGTGTTTATTTTGATTATTGTTAAATAATTAAAAACCATTCAATAATAACAAGAATGCATTATAAAAAATTGTTTTTTTAAAAAATCTATTGGCAAAAATTAAAAAAAACCTTTGGTGTATCTTTCTTTATTACAATGAAACTTGTTTTATCCGACATGCACGGGGAACAGATTAAAAATATATGTGTTGGAATAAACAAGATGTAGTATTGCAGCGTGTAAAGATCATTGAGATAATTATAAATGACAAATGAAATTAAATGGCTGAAATCACAGTAAAGAGTATTGCATGTGTCGGATTAAACAGGTTCCACTGTAATAGGTTTAACAAAAAAGTAATCTTCATCCTAATTCTCCGTCCAGTTATCTCCATTTATCAGTGTTTGGAAAAAAGAACGAAATTTTTCTATTTTCAAATTTATTACAACACATATAAAATACATCTTTTACTGAATACATCCAGTATCGCTTTACAGAGCCGTTCAACCACCTTCTTTTACTGTTTGTTACTTGATGTTAAATATTAAAAAAAGAACTCAGCGATAAAAATTAATTTAAAATCGTCTCTTGGGGGTTTCCGTAATCCATGGATGATCTTTCGTCTGTTAAAAAAAATAAATTAATACTTCACAGATAAATGTATGATAACATATTTTTTTTATTAAAAAAAACAACTTTTATTACTGAAAATTTCAGAGTGATACAAAAAGAAAAAAAAATGGATATTAAGATGTAATGATGTTTACCTAGTGACGTCTGACCATCATGGTGGTCCCCTTCACTGACGTCCCATTCGTTACTGTGGGGTACCATGGTCTGATCCAGGACTCCGAGGACCAGGGACCGTTTAGGAAGGCGTAGTGACAGGCGTTGAACCACCAGCCTCCTCTACGGGCAGTAGCACAGTTACCAACATCCCTGTCGTTATCTCTGTCTGGGGTACTGAAGTACATCCCAGACAGATCGTGGTAATTAGGATCACCGGTGTTCAACATACTGTCTCCTGTAGAATTAAAAAAGAAAAATATACACGGACACTTGTTTAAAATAGATCAGTAGATTTATATCCACTATACTCGTCCTGATCTCTGTCTGGGTGGAGAAGAATATCCCAGACAGATCGTGGTAAAATAATACCTGAATTTAACATACTGTCCCCTGTAAAATCAATCAAAAAGAGTCACAAAGTGAATTGATTTATATATTTTTAATCTTATTGTCGATAATAAAACTGAAATACTTCTAAGATAGATAGCTTTAGGTGCTGGGAAGAGTGATAATATTTATTTAGTTCGGTCTTAGAATCCCTGGTGTCTATCATACTGGTACCTGCAGAATTAGAGAAAATATATAACAGAGATAATAATTATTAATTAACATCTAATTAATCTTAATACTGAAGTACGTCTGAAATACACAGTTTAAAGTGTTGTTTCTTGTAAAGAGAGATAAAAATAATACAAGACAAAAAACCTGCAAAATTCACATAGCATCCTTTCTAGTGTAACAATAAACAACAGACGTGTTTCACTTTTTAAGCATGGTATTATTGGGGGGGGGGATAAAGGTCACTAGAAATTTAAGAAAGCATCACAAAATGAAATATTAATATTTTTCGGAGACTGTGTATCTAATCAGGTATAACATGCCATACTAAGTAAATCATTAATAACGAGATAAAATATGGTGCATCTGTGAATGTTTTAAGATGCTAGATTTCCTATTAAATAAATGGAAATGTGAAACGGGTTTATGTCTTTAAAATTTGGCTTTCAAGCTTTTTTTATTTGAATATTTATCCGATCAATTTTTTTTTTATCATCAAATTTTCGTAAAATTAATGACGCGCTGTAAACTTCCTATTCCGTAGTAATAAAAAAAGTGAATCATTGGAAATCAGACTAACATGCTCTGTAAACTTTTTCCGTATCAGTTAAAATGTGAATTATAAAAAATCAGGAAACCCAAGCTGAATAACAATGTTGAACAAATGTTATTATTGGATTTATTTGTTTAAAAAAAATAACATAATTTTCCTTGTACATAAAATGTATAATTAGAAATTATATCTACTTGACAATAACACATTCAATATCTGCTGAGTATATAAATTGTATTTGCAAATGAAATTCTGTAATATTAAACATGTTTATTTAGCGTGGAATCAAAAAAAGTATACATAATATCAGAAAAAAACACATCTTTCTTTTTTTCAAGAACTTTATAATCTTTCAATACAGAAAAGAATAATTATGATGATATACGTAATTCGAACCTGATTTTAAGAACTTAACATGATTACACTGACCTAAAGTTCCCTCGGCAGGTCCTGCAAGAAAGAGTTGATATTTCCCTGCTTCGTCAGAGACAGAAAATCGATCGTACAGTTCATACAGCGTTGTACCACTCTGGAGAGTGATGGTTACATACAGGGATGAGGTGTTTTCTTTCGTTAATTTATGGATTATGTCATTCCCTGTATTAAGATATATTTGAAATCATCTGAAAAGTTTCTCGAATACAATTAATTCTTATAAAGTCTATATGAATCTACCGTAATGAAAAATCAAATTATTTTCCATAGCTGTAGACATTGCTAAATTTGGTCTCATTAGAATATGCCGCTAAATGATATTTTTCTTTTCTATTTTTTTTTTAATTATTTGAAATATCAATTAAACACGATATCTGAATATCATAGAACACACATTACCTGGTCTTAACTTTAGATCTTTATTACGCATTATAATTTTTTACTTGCCACAAGAATTTTTTTTATCTTAAAACTTTGAAGGAATAAAAAGTTCTTATTTGAAACCGATTTACACTTACCAATCCAGACATTCTGTTCTGGTGAACCAAAGCCATTTTTATATTCCGTCCTGGTCCTGTTAAATCTCACGGACCCGTCTACGCGTTTCCGAATTGCCTGTAAAAAAAAGCATACATTACATTTCAAGTTATTGCTTCGAACATTCGTAGGATCAATTTTTTATGATATAAACTACAATACAATCCTACAATCCTTAAAACCACCAAAACAAGGTGTGTTATATTAAGTACTTTTAATTATAAAATTAAAAACCTACCGTCCATCCACCGTCCATCGTGGTCATGTCGCAGTAGACAGTTATTGGAATGGTTAATGTTCTGTAGGGGTATATGTCATACACCCCTGTGATGGTTTGTCCATTTTCTCGAAGATCTTTGCAATCTTTGGGCATGCTAGAAAAATCTAAAAAAAAATACAAGAAACTTGATAAAAAAAATCCTGTCCCCTCGAGAAGGACCTAAAAAATCAAAGAAGCTAAGAGAATAAAAAAAACCCAAATATACATACCGTTATCTGAGTAGTATCTCCAGCCGGCCTCCTCAGACGTACCAGACGTTAGACTTTTCTTGTGGGTACGGCACTTCTTCAGTTTAGGATTAAAACCAAAAAACACACACTCCCTTTGACACATTGCGGCGCACTCAGTCAACGATTTAGCATCATGTTCCCCTAAAATGTCATTGTTTGACTTCTTATCATTAAATTCAAGATTCGCTGCATATTTCTTAGAAATAATGGTAGCTTTAGATAAAGCTAAGAAGCCTACAATTAAAGTGATAACCCACTGATTGCTCATTTTTTTTTGTTGCATAAAAATCTGCCGCGTTCTCGTGAATCTGTGAAATTCTGCTAAATGGTCTTTCAACAGCCAGATATATATATATCGTACCATAATCAATGTCTGAAAAGCGATTGGCTAACTGTTACGTATTCTATATTTCACTATTGTTTAAGTATCGATTTTATTGAAGTTCATATGAATTGCCATGAATTTTCATCAACGTTTATTTTGAAATTGCAATTTGAAATTTAACAATGAAAGGTGTTCTGTTTTTAATTTAGCTAATGCCTGTTATGTTATGATGTTGTACAATGTTTTTTTGTTAGCTATCTTTTAAATATGTAATTTTGATATATATATATTCCTTCATTAACTCAAACTGAATGAAATTGGAAATCAGCAATTTTCTAGAATTCAAAGTGAAAAATTATCTAACTGTAAGACATTATAAAGAATGAACATTAAATAACATGTCTAGTTTTTATAAGAAAGCACTCATCGCATACAGCGAATTTCAGTCAAAATTTGTGCCAGAGAATCGAGAGGAAATACTTAACCTCTCACTCTTTGGTAATAAACTTATACGATTCCAAGGGAAAAGCCGATATGTGGAATCATTTATTAAAAGTGGTTTATTAAAAATTAAAGACATTTGGAATTATGTTGTTTTCAAATTGAAAATTGTTTTAGATATAAAGACACCATTTTTAATAAATTAGTAGACAAAAGATGTTGGATATTTGAATATAGTAAAATAAAATCAGCCATTCCTAAACTGTTTTATCCAATACTGAAAAGAAACAGCTCAGTATCAAATAGCGAAACAAAACTCCCTTATAAATTGAATAATAATTTACTTATAAAAAGAGATACTAATAAAGTGGAAACTTTTGAAGATATCAAGTTAAAGAACATAGAAAAAATATTAAACAAGACAATAATTCCAAAATGTCAAGAAAAATGGGAAAATATTTACCAAAATAACATACAGTAAAACTTAGTTTGGGACAGTAT